AACTCAATTGCATATCTGGTTAAAAAGATATGAATGATTCGTTTATTGCAGTCAGGCAAAAACAAACAATTGAGAAATCAAGCTTCAAAGTTTAAAAACAATTTATTAATTAAAAATTTCCTGTAATATAAGAGTCTACTCCCTCTTTTTCTTTCTCCTTATCAATATAACCCTTCCTGATACATCTCCTTTTCCTTCTAGCCCTTTTTTGCTTTGGAGTTGAATTTTTAATCGTGTTCTTTACTCTTGATACATCCTTCTTCCACGATCCTTGGATCATAAAACTTCCAGGCAAGAGCTGCAAATAATCAAAAATTCTTGTGAAACCTCTCAAACCATCATTGTAATTTATTACAGCTGAAGCAACACCAAGATCTAGTACCTTTTTAGTAACAAAAATATTTTTTGGACACTTTTTCCAGATTATCTGGTTGAAAGCCTCATTTGGATTTTGTGTTGCGCCATCCAGGCATCTTGATAACAAATCATCTGACCGTAGTGCCAAGAATGTGCCTTTAAGAATACTTTTAATAGCAAGAGGCAAATTAATTGATGGTTTATAATTTTTGTCATTCTGCCAATACTTGCACCAGCTTTCCTTTGTACGTGGACAAAATTGATGTCTCTCTTCGCTGTTGCTTATATTCGAGCAATGCCACAATACAGCCAAAACAGATTTTTTCATATTGTACAAGGCTATAGTACGGTCTCCACTCCATGCTTCTAAGGTATTTTGCCTAATGCTCATGCCATAAAAATTTTGCATTTTATTAATGATCTTATCTGTCAACCTTCCTTTCCCTGATATAATTTTCCCATCTTCTAACTTTTTACCCTTTAAGTCACATCGCATTTGACGTAACCGGGTGCCTAGGCGTTTTTGGACATGACCGACGCACTCTATTTTTACTGGGACAAGATCTTCTCCATATGGCTTTGCCTTTACAACATTTGTATAAGATTCAGTATCTCCATCTCCTATATAATGAGAATAGCGAACATTGTACTTTGCCAATGATTCCGTAAAAAATGATAAAGCACCTGCTGATTCCATGGCACCTGATGATTTAAAGTGGTTAAGGTCGCAAACATGTGTCTTCAAAAACTTTCCATAACCGCTCTTATTTCTCTTACTTTGCCACAAAGCACAGCCACGACAAAACTTTGAAAATACTTGGTAATCGACAACTTTACGGTTAGCTTTTGCAACAGCAGTGCATACACCATTTAGAGATGAATGACCACGTTTCTGCCATGAACCGTCAATTCCAATTTGTATATCAACAATATCATTTTCAGCAGCATTTGGAAAATCTCTTTTTCTTATCTCTGTCACAGCATCCTTCATGCTATCACAAGAAGCAGCTTCATAAAATTTTAATAGGTCAGAGTTTATTTCATTATACGAGAACAAACTCATTGGTGGGGGCATATTCAAAATAGATGCAAATATTTTTATTGCCTCGTGACCTTGCCCAATTTCTCTAAAGGCCATAACAGTTCTAACATTAATTTCTTGAGATTTTACTCCTCTGGTATCTCTATCAGGTATACTAAATGCTCGAGATGAATTAAAGAAGTACGTCCATTCACAAGTTGCACATTTAATACAAAATTGTATTGAAAACCCCTTGGCTTTTTTATCGAGATATTCAAGAGCAATATCCTTTGAATTGCATTCACCACAAGATCCAATGCTACAAATTAAATCTTTAAACATTGGGAAATGAAAAAAAAAGAAAAAGTCGTCGTGTTTTGTTAAAGGTTGATCAGCTTTATCTATGGAAATGTTCAACTTTGTTGAACTAGCACATGGCAATATATTTATTCCATCATTGTTTGTATCTTTGTCAGGCTGTTGCAAAAAAACCTCAACTGTTTTCTTAGTATATCTATTACCTTGAAAAACTCGTTTAACTTTTCTATTTTTAAAACTTTTATTCTTTGCCATAATAAAACTTTTTTTAACAACTTTAAACTTTTTTCTTTCTGCTTAACAAATAACATCAAAACATACGGCTTTGCTAAAAATAACTCTGGTTCAAAAGTTTAGTTAATTATACAGACCCATGAAAAGAAATAATTGTTTAAATCTAGGTCTTTGGGTAATATATCTATAAAAAATTATTGGTTGCTATGCGGTTGTTAAGTAAATTTTTTTTACTCTTACCAACTAAAACAATTTTTTTACATTTTTTTATTAATTAACCCATATCATGTTATATATGGTTAAAAAGCCAATTAAATTTTAAACAAAGTTGGCTGATAAACTAAAAAACACATTTTTTCACAAAAATCGCTATTTTTTTACCTGATAACCACCTTAAAGTTTTATCTTTTAAAGATAAGTTTTGTTAATAACGAACTATTATATTCCACAAATTAGTTCTAATTGTCAGGTTGGTACTTTTTACTTAATTAATGTTTGTTTTTTTGAGCTAATTTAAAGTGCTCATATTACCCAATGGTCTGGGTAATATTAATTTTATTTGGAAATTCTTCGTGTTTTCCAAAACCTCCATGTAATTTTAACGTTTCACATTTTAATGTCTACCCGAGTCAAAATATTTTCAATGAGACCTAAATTAGGTGATCGGTTACACCATAACAATAATGTTTTTTTTCTGGATAGTAAATAATTGAAGGTGGATCAAAAAGAACAGTAAGTAAGAAAAGTTATTTCAAAGATTAGAATTTTGTTCATTGTGTTAATGTTAAAATGTTATGTGTTTACATTTCAGAAATCTTTATTTGTCTAAATTAGAAAGGTTTTAAATATTGGTTTTTGCAGAGAATTTATACTTTTATCGATTTGCCAAAATTATGTCTAAAAACAGTGTAAAGTATCTTCGCTTTAACAGCTTCAATATTTATTCACTCTTCCACCTCTACCTCTATATCCATCTGTATTAACTCATAGTTATAACTGTCGATTCACTGTGTCCCAAGTTGTTATTTACTGTACCCCGGTACTGGGGTACAGTGTATAAGTGTAACATAACTCACTTTAAGCCTCTCTGCGAAGAGATAGATGATAAAGATTTGGGTTTTACTGACTTCTTATCATATGGATGGACATATATCATTAAAATAAATATGAAAGATTATTTTGATTTTTACACATTTTGGCTGTGTAGCATGGTGCATCATCTTATTGGTATTGAAAGTTGCGGGATTTTTGGTAAAATTTTGATATTGACGGTTTCAAACACGGTTTCTAAAGTTTCTTTTTACAAAAAATGATTCATTGAAAACTTTATAAAATTAATGGACTCTTTTCCTTTGTGGGAATTATATTTCTAAACGTTTACTGAGTCACTGCCGGCTTGTTTACGCTGTACACAAAAGCGAGTATCCTACTTCCCACTTTTTAACCTTTTCACGTGTATTCTAGATTTTTTGATGAAAAATTTGAAAATTACTTTTATTGCTGAAAGTAATTCGGCTCTAATATTTGACAGACCAGATTAGTCTCTCTAAAAATGGCTTATGTTTAGCAATGTAAGAACCATTTCCTTGATTTTTCAATATCTTTTTAACAGTCTCTTTTCTGACACCATAGCCACGTTGAATGATTTTTTGTTGTTGTTAATAACACCAATGCGATACCTAAGTTTTTATCATTTCTAATCGTTATGCATCTGCGCAACGGTTTACTGCAAACAACTATCGTAGTATTGTTGACATTCGTATATTGATGAAAGGCAAACCTCTCTCTGAGTACCTTGCTTTAAGTCTTTTAAAATTATTTAATTATTGACCTTTTATGGGAACCATATATACAATCTATTGCAAAGTTATCTACTAAAGTTGCTTCTCTATATTGTGCTTGCCATTTTCTTATTCCTGATTGCACTCTCTACCTCTACAAATCTCTTATTCGTTACTGCATGAAATACTGATATCATATTTGTGCTGGTTCTTCTAATGATGCTTTTCATTTTTTAGAAAAGGTCTAAAAATGTATTGTAAATGTAGTTGAACCTGATTTATACACCAAGCTTGCTACTTGCCTTACTTTGCGTAAGGTTGCATCTCTTTTTGTATTCTACAAATGCTATTATGGTCACTTCTCAAACAAATTATCAATAGCTTCATCAACCTATACTCATTCCCGCCCAACTTTTCATTTAGCTAAGTTGCATTCTTTTATTCTATCTGTTCCTTCATGCTCTAAAAACCTTTATTCACTTAGTTTCTTTTTTCGCACTTTAATGCTTTAAAACTCTGAAACTAAGCGACCGTAGCGCAGTTGCTAGAGCGCTTGGTTTAGAAGCAAGAGATCAAGGATTCAAAACAAGCTCTCGGCATATTTCGCGTTATCGGTAAAGAAGGAGTTTAATTTCCGTAACAAGAACGTTAGATCGTCTTGGGGCACCTAAAACAAAACAAAACAAAAAAAGCTCTCTCGCATCTTCATGTTTCCCACAACATTCACACAATCTTCAATTTTTCAAGTCTTTTGTCCATTGTTTTCTTGCTCTTTAACAACTCTTTGTTTCTAATAACTCACAGCTTAATGTTGGTTGGGAGTGAATTACTTAAAAGAAATAAATTAATAAATGAGTGGTATAATTGTGTTTATTGGTATTTGTTTAAAATACCTCTAGATTTGAATAGCTTAATATCAATCTCGGACCACTGTGGAACCTCGCAATATTATTTTATTGAAGATTTATACATCTACTTTTTATAACAATTTTCATACGGTTCTAATAAAAAACAATGAAACTTTGAAACTTTGAAACTCTGAAAACAATTTTAAATAAAATTATTCGTCGAATATAAAAACTTTTTCCTTTAAAAAATAGTCAACGTCATAATGGAGTTGAAAATTTGTTTTAGGCATTTTTATAAAATCTTTCTTACGACTGTTATAATTGTTTTAATCGATAACGGAATTATACTCGAAAACCGTTTAATTTTTTTATTTATTGAATATTATTCGATAAATAAAAAGTTTAAACGATTTTCGAAAATAATTCCGTGAGTGGTATATCGAGTATAATATCGTATCGATTAAAACGATTAACAGTCACAAGAAAGATTTTACAGAAAAGCCTAAACAAATTTTCAACTCCATTTTGGCGTTGGTCATTTTTATCCATTTTGAACTTCGATATATTTTCAGTAATGTCTTTTATTGAGCAACGAGGCGTAAGTTTTTGTTATTAGTTAGTGATTTAATTTTTTTCTTCTTATATTTATTTTTTTCTTATTTACATGTTTTTTTATATTTCAAGTTGTAAGTTGTATTAATATTGTGGAGGAAAAGGTGTACACTGAGGCTGAAAAATTTAAATAACGTTTTTATTTTGCTTTAAAAAAACATGTTTTTTTTTTGTTAATACAAAAAAATATAATGTAGGAAAAAAAAGTTTTAGGTTAAAAAGTTAAATAATCAAGCTTTTTCAAAGCAATAGAGATGCACAGTAATGTAAATGCATAGACTATGCATTTACATTATGCCATAGTAAGACTGCATGTCGTACATCATGAGAAAAATCTCACTTCTGATGCTTAAAAAAATATTTAGATACACATTGATGAAAAATATTTAGATACTCACATGTCGCAATATATATATATATATATATATATATATATATATATATATATATATATATATATATATATATATATTAAAGATTCACAGTTTTTTTATTTTTAAATATGTTATAATGCCAACACAGTGAATCCATTGTCTATCAGCTTTAGAACAAAGATAAAACCTACCAGTATACTATGTGTCAAGACATTTTATCATTATTTTGAACTGTTGACAATATTATGTTATATGTATTCCATTTGTAATTTTTATTTCTTTGAAACCTAGCATATTCATAGCCAAAAAAAATTGAGATAATGCAATAAAACTAAAATCTATACTTCTTTTAGGTAATTTGTTAATCAAAAATTCTGTACTGAATCGTGAAAATTTCCAAGCAAAGTAAAATAGTTCTTAAAAACCATAAATCCATATAATGTGACCACTGTATTTAATGGCTGTCTATTAAATGTAACAATTTTATTAAAATAAAGTGTTGAATTAATTTCTGAACTCTGTAAAATGTGTAATCCAGAGCTCAATATATTTAAAGTGCCTTTGTTTATTTATTCAAATAATTTCTCTCGCTATCTTAATTTTATACTATGATGTTAATAATTTTAATCCCCTAAAATAATACACAAATCTTATTAGTTTTGTTTATCCTAATATCATTCCTATTGCTTCTAACATAAATGGGTTAAAATCTTTATTTAGTTTATTAAATTTCCCTTTTCATGTTAATGCAAGTACTAAAACAAAATTGACATAAAACATTCCATCTATAAGCAATATAGATATAAAAGACCATTAATATGGGGGTGAAATTAACAAATTTTTAAGATTACAGAGTATTACATAAAGGGAGTGGGAAAAGTAATGAAATTTTACTCAAGCACAATTAGTCAAAAAGTTTACTAAGTAAAAGTAAAAAGTTCATTCATGAAATTTATTAAAAGTTACAGTGTTACTTTTTAAATAGATTTTTTAATTTTTTTTTTCAAATTCTAATAAAAAAGATTAAAAATTTAAACTTAAGTGGTGCACGTGTTTGATGTCTTCATCGGAAAGTATACTTATATGAAAATAAAATTGATTGAAAAAAGGAAGTTGAAAAGGTTTGAAGTGAGCTGAAAACTTACTTTTGTAATTTGCAATTTGGGATTTGTATTGAAATACAGTATAAGGATTTAAATTTAAATGTGTTTGTTTTAATTTTTTGATTGCCTTTATTCTTTAAATTTGTTTGTTTTATTGAATTGTTTTTTCATTTTTGTTTTATTGGCTAATTTATGAAGGGACAGTAAAGTATTGTATGTATGTACACTCCCCGCATGTTCTAACTAAATAGTTAAAACATGCGGGGAGTGTACATACATTGACTGAGAGTTTTGATTTGAGTAGGCAATCAAAATAATTCTTAAGCTAAATTTTTGATTTATGAAGTTTTCATAAAAATCCAGATTGTTTATTTTGAGCCATTTCTTTTTCATAATTTTGATCTAGGTAATGGTTGTCTTTATTACTTCAGTTAAAACGTTAATGTAATATAAGTAAATAAAGTTATAAAACAGACACTATTTTTTATCAAATAAAAAAATTAAATATTACTAATATGTAATAATTTTCTTTACTCAGTAATGCATATGATTTAAAATGTAAAGTATAATATTAAAAAAAAAAAAAAAAATTAAGTAAAAGTACACATTTAAAAAAATAATTTAAAAATTAGAAATGCATTAAAAAAACTACTAAATTTACATGAGTAAATTTAGTTAGTTACTTTTCAGTTTTAATTATTTAAAAATAACAAGTTTAAGAAATTACTATGGTCATAGGTGTATATAAGTTTCATTAAGTTATAGTACCAGAGTTAATCTCTAACAAAATTCCATCTATGTATCAAACAAATTATAGTTTACTATAATGGCAAAGGCCATTATAGTAAACTATCTACAATTATTTTAAAATCAAAATGTGTGGCAATCCCAGCTATTTTAGGGACTAAAAGATTAGTCTGAAAATTGCTTTAGTCTGATTAAAAGTGTAAGACAGCCAACTATCAGAGATATTGTCAGGCAAAATAAACTATTGTTAACAAACACATTTGACTTGGTTGGTAAAATAGGAGGAAAATTTTTCATTTATACATTAAAAGTATAGTAAAAAAAAAAATTAACATTCAACTTCCTCCAAAATGTTGCCGCTAATAGTATAAAAGTTATCCTCAATGAACAGCACTCTTATTTCCTGTAACTTCAGGGGTTCCTCAAGGTTCTATTCTTGGCCCTATACCCTTTTTAATTTACATTGATGATCTTCTAGATATTCTCACATCTAAGGTGGCATTGTTTGCTGATGATATTAATTCTGGTCTTGATAAGAAGCCAACACTCTCCGATTGCTTGGAGATGGTATTTGAGCTTTGAAAAGATCTCACTTCTGTTACAGCATGGTGCTCTCAGTGACTGGTGAACTTTAACTCAGATAAAACTCGATTTTTTCAGCTAATTGTTATCGCAATAATCTAGATCTTCCGATATTTATGAACTGTAATGTACTTGATGAGTCATCTACTCTTTGTCTTCTAGGATTAACTCTTTCTTCCAATATCTGCTAAGGTTGCATCTCTTTATCAGCTTGCCACTTTCTTACTCTAGATTCTATTCTTTATCTCTACAAATCTCAAATCCATCCTTGTATGGAATACTGTTGCCATATCTATGGCAGATCTTCCAATGATGCTCTTTCTCTTATAGACAAGGTGCAAAAACCCATTGTAAACATAGTTGGACCTGCTCTTGCAGCCAACAGCCACCACTATTAGATTTGAAAATTTCCAACTCTAATAGTGGTGGGAAGTGACTGGGGCCCCATCCCTGTCTAAAAATGAGACTTTTTGCTAAGCCGGCCCAGGTTTTCTTTTTTCGCAAACCCGGCCCTAGCTAGAAAAAAATTTGTAATACCTTATTTATTAAAATTATACTTACATTACTGTTTATTAAATAGTTAAATATTTATTAAAAACTATAATTTAATTCCCACAAATTTGTAAGCAACCACTATTAAGTTATGAGTTGCTTTAAAATAGAGGATAGATTAAAAAGCTAGGAAACGGTTAGTTGAAGACTTAAAAAGTTAAAGGTTGTATAAAAAAGGAAAACATGAAGGTGGGTAAGAGTTATATGGTTTTTTCGATGTGTAAGGAAAAAAACTGGCTTCATAAAAGTTTTTATAGCATTAAGGAACAGATACAGATACAAGAAGTCAAGCAAGAATGAGTTTTGGTTTATCGTAAGCTTGTTTGAGTATTAATCATGATTACTGTCATCATGATGATGATGGTGATTATGATTATGACTATGGTAATAATAAACAGCATAAAAGGGGAAGGCTAAAGCTTGATGATGATCATCATGATTATAGTAATGATGATTATGGTAATGATGATTATAATGATCATGTTGATCATAATGATGTTTATATATGCATATATATACAAAATATAACATGAATTTTGAATTAAAAAAATATACTTTAGGATGTATAAATGTTTGTGCAGCCCAGGTCACATGGCCCCAGTTATATTTTATCAGACCTGGCCCCGGTCAAATATCAACCCAGGTATTAAATAGTGGTTGCTTGCAGCCTTGTTGGAAGTGTAGGTTTTTGTTCAAAGGTAGCTAGCGGTACACAGATGCACAAATTTTCTATGCTAGTCTGCTGAGATAAGAAATCTCTTTAAGTTTAAAAGTGAAAAACTAACTTTAAGCGATTTCTTATCTCTTTAAGAGATAAGAAATCTCTTAAAGTTAGTTTTTCACTCTTGATGTCTTTGTTGTGTAGTGTCCTACTCAGTCAGGGTTACTTTAGCAACGCATAATGCTTCCACACATGCCATTAGTAAAGTAACAATTTTTCTCAGTTTGCTTTTTTGGATTTTTCCATATAGCTTTATTTTTATTTTATTATTATCCATATAGCTTTATTCTTCCACATATTCTCACATCTAAGGTGGCATTGTTCGCTGATGATACTACCATTTATTCTTGTCATGATAAGAAGCCAACTCTCTCTGATTGCTTGGAGGGGGAATTTGAGCTTGAAAAAGATCTCACTTCTGCTACAGCATGGGGCTCACAGTGGCTGGTGAACTTTAATTTAGATAAAACTCAATTTTTTTCAGCCAATCGTTATTGCAATAATTTAGACTTTTTTATATTTATGAATATTAATGTACTCGATGAGTTATCTACCCTTCATCTTCTAGGATTAACTCTTACTTCTGATCTTTCTTGGAAACCAAATATTACCATCGATTGCAAAATTAGCATCTGCTAAAGTTGCATATCTTTATCAAGCTCGACACTTTCTTACTCTGGATTCTATTCTCTATCTCTCTAAATCTCAAATTCAGCCTTGTATGGATAACTGTTGCCATATCTGGTGCTGATCTTCTAGTAATGCTCTTTCTCTTTTAGACAAGGTGCAAAAATGCATTGTAAACATAGTTGAACCTGTTCTTGCAGCCAAACTTCAACCATTATCACATCGTCTTAATGTTGCTTCTCTTTCTCTTTTCTACAAATACTATAATGGGCACTGCTCTAAAGAGATAGTGTCTCTTGTGCCATCTACTAAAATTCATTTTCGTGTTACTCGTCATTCAATTAAGTCTCATCCTTTTTCTGTTACTGTTCCTAAGTGCTCTAAAAACTCTTATTCGTCTAGTTTTTTTTCCTTGAACATCAGTTCTTTAGAATTCGCTTCCTTCATCTTGCTTTCCTGATTCATATAATTTGCAATCTTTTAAGTCGTCTGTCAATGATTATCTTGCTCTACAATTTTCGTCTTTTCTCTTCCAGTAACTTCCAACACTAATTAGTGGTTGCTTGCAGCCTTGTTGGAAGCGAAGATGTTTAAAAAAAAAATTTCTTACTGGTTTCTTTGTATGACAAGTTTTCATCTTCAGACGGGAACTTGTTCTACTAGCATTGAAAACTCTACAGGTGTGTAGAATTGTTAGTATGTTAGAAATTGTTAGAAATGTTAGTAAAAATTTTGCAATGATTAAATGTCTTATAATCAGTGCACTTAGGCCATTGTTGATGACTTAATTGATATGTATAATTTCATTACATTTAAGCCTCCATCGGTTGCTGCACATGTATGTTTTTTCTCCAAGTTTGTGCGTTTTATTTAGTTTTAATGATAATTTTGGCTTGGTGTACTTCAGGAAAAAGAGCAAGTTTAACAAGATGATATTTAAGCTTTTAAAAAATAGTATAGATGTCAGCAGTAAAACTGCAACTGTATAATAATTAATTAATTCTTAGGTTTTAATGCACAAAATTTTTTCATTAATTTTACATTCAAATCTCAGTGTACAATATGTCTATCTGCACAGTTCTATATTAAAAATTTTTTTGTAATATTTCTACTAGATTGATATCTGTATATTTAGAATTTTATATAATTATTTAGGGTCTTTATTCAGCGCCTAATAGTCAACCAAAGACTATTGTATATAATGGTGGAGTAACTAGTTCAAGTTCAGGAAATGATGTTGTCAAAGAACTTCAACAACGTCAAAGAGTATATCAGGTAAACATCAATAATATTTATATCAACACTCGGAATTAGGAAAAATGAGGTCAGCAATAATTTGTTGATCTCAATCTTTTAGAGGTCGGCAAAAATTATTTGATACAAAGGTCTGACCATAAAACATAGAAACGAGTTTGACAATTTTTTCATTAAACACTTTCAGGTCGGCAGTTAAGTCGGCTTTGCCGAATGCAGACTCTAATTCCAAGAGTTGAAAAAAAATCATGGATTTTATTTGCAAATAAAATTTACATCAAATAATTAAAAAAAATCTAAAAAATTTGAAAATTTTTTTCAAATTTTTTTGTCAAAATCAGCAAAAATTAGTGAAAAAATCCTAGCAAACCAGTTCCAATAGTTTAAAATAGTATTAAAATGCAATTACTATTGAGTAAAAGTTTTAACAGCGTCAATGATAAAACGTAACTTCATTGTTTTAGAATACTTATTTCAACTCTAGCACATACTAAGCATTTTTCATAAACCTGTTTCTCCAATATTTTCTTCAATAGGCTGGAGCGGGACTAGTTGAGCATAGGGGCAGGTTGGGCAGTTAAAATATCTCAAAAACTATGCATCACATGACAAAACATCTAATGGATGAAAGTTAGGGAATTAGAATGTTAACACAATGCACAACAAAAGATTGCAGAAAAGCTATTGCGTAAAATACACAGGAATTTTTTTTTATTTTTGACCAAAAAAATTTTTCTATTTTTCTCTTGTATGCTTATAAACCTTTTTATCTGCCATCACTAAAGTGTTGATAATTTAACAAGTTATCAGACTTTTGATTAAAACTAACTTTTTTTTCTTAACTCTTACTGTTCTTTTTAAAACCTAACTAATGTGTCACCTAGTAGGGGTAAGTTGAGCAGTTTTAAGAAAAATAGAAAAAATTGAACTATCGAACATTTGTTGATTTTTCAACTTACCACACACTATTGCTCAACTTACCTCGCTGGGGCAGATTAAGCAGCTCCACAAACTTTAAGCAATATCTTCTCAAAAAAATCGAATATAATTATATTATATTATACTTTTTTCTTAACAAATTTTTAGCAGGTTAAATTATCTTTCAAATATTGAAAAAATTATGTAAATCTGACATAACGTTCATGAGATCTGTTAGATTTAAATAAAATTGCTCAACTACCCCGCTCTACCCTACTTTTTCTTGCTTTCAATAACTATAGTTTTTTCATGTCATCTGTAATGCTTTCTTTCCATGTTTTCTCACCTCTATCTTCTACCTTTTTATCTCCTACTTTTACCTTCTACCTAATTAAACAGCTCAGTTATGTAAAATCCCATTCATTTAATAATTTCGATTTATTAAAAATATTTAGTATATTATTTTTATAATAATATATAAAGTTTGCTATATTTAACTGAGAACAATTTTTCTTTAACTATACTTAGTCACTTTTTTTCTCTTTAAATTCTTTGATTTATTTTCTTGTAAGTTTTTGCTGCAAATGTAATAAATGTATAAATGAGTTAATTTTAAAACTTTCTACAATAGGAATCTCAAAAGTATGTTTAGTAAAATCTCGTTTTATGTAACACTAGTAATTTTTTGAAGTAGTGTTTCATAAAACAATTTTCTTTTTAGTATCAAGTATCAAAATTAAATAGAAAAAATCAAGAAAAAATAAAAATTTGCCAACTGACTTGTCTAAAATGTTTACATTTCGTCCCCTCAGTATTATCTTGTTCTATCTACAAATGTAATAAATAAAATATTCTATCTAATATGTAAAATAAATACAAAAACAAATTATATATAAATAAATTCAATATTCTATGTAATATAATATAATGCATTATATCAGGTAGAACATTGTACTTATTTATATATACATATACATTTTGTATTTATTTTATATATTAGATAGAACATTTTATTTATTACATTTGTAGAATATGATAGAACATGATTCAACAAGAATGATAGAACATGATAATACTGAAGGGACGATTTGCCGACTTTTTAACAAAATTTTAACAGTTTTTCAGCTAAGCATAATAAAATGAGATTCTGTGCATGCAAATGTTGTTTTAAACAAATTAACATTAGCAGGTAATTTGAAAGTTAATTATTTGCGAATTTAAATTTTTATATTGCATTGATTTTAAAACTGTTATTTTAAAAAGAATTTGAGTTTGTAAATTTTTAAGCATTAAGTTGTTTTTATGTGTTTCGTTTTTCAATCATAAAGAACTGTAACTGAGATGAAAATTTAATCAAAGAAAAAAATAATTTTTATTAAATTTTGACGGTCCAAAAAAAGTAATTGATTGTCAATTCCATGTGTTACCGAGTCAAATTAACCGCTTTTAATTTAATAAAGTTTGATTTTGCTGTGAGCATATATTCAGCAAGAGTGCTCGATGAATGATATCAGAGCTATATAATTGATTTTTTTGACGAGATTAATTAAAAAATAACTACATAATTTTTACTACTAAAAGTTTCATGCGTTTAACAATCATTCGTTCAAAAACGTTCATTAACGTTCAAAAACAATTATAAAATGTTACTATTTGCAAGTGTGGTTTGGTTTTTTAATCTTTAGGCTTGTGGTTATCAAGCAAGAACTTGTTTTCATGGCGGCACTTAGATATTCTGTTTTTTTTATTTAATAGTTCTTGCGTACCTTTGTATGATATTATGCAAAGTTTTTCATGAAGGCAAAGCAAGCATTTTTTTGTTATGTTGCTATAGGCAGGGACTTGTTTAATTATTGACCAGATTAATTTGGGTGTTAATTTTAAGTTTTCTTTTATCTGCCATATATACTTTGAAAGGGTGGTTGAATTTTTCATCTTTTTGTTTGTGAATGAGTGTTTGTGGTTAGCCCATCTTTTTTTCCATTCACCTTCTGCTAGGCCAATATATACTTTTTCTGGAGTGTTAGGGGGGGGGGGGGTACTATACATTTATAAATAACGTTTGAGGCTCTACATTTTCCTATTATAGAGCAGTTTTTTTTTATTTATGCAATTGCATGGTGGGTATTCTTTTTGTCTTTTTGAACTGATTTTCTTGTTGTGGCTTTTTATAATTCTTTCAATATTTTTGGTACAGCTGTAACTCACTTTGATGGTGTTTCGATTGAATAGTTTACTTTGGGGGTGGGATGTTGAAAATGTTTGTTGATTAAGTTTAGGAAGATAAGTTCAACATTGGTAGAAACGCTTTTACTATGATAGATATATATGGTAGAAACGCTATGATAGATATATATGGTATTACTATGATAGATATATATGGTACTTACTATGATAGATATATATGGTAGAAACGCTTTTACTATGGGGGTTGAACCATATTATATTTCTTTTTCTTTTCTTTTTTTCTCTTTTTTGGGGATTATATTTTAAATTAAAACCAGTGAAGCTATTTCTTCTTAATTCATCTTCGTATTCTGGTATAGATAAATTAAATGTTTTTTTATTTGAGGAATTTTGTGATAATCTGCCGTTGATAGAGATGGGAATTTGCTTTATTATTTGCGGAGGATGGTTGGAATCAGTGTAGATATTCATTTGGTTTTTTGAAAGGTTGGTAGGAATTTTTTTTTAAGTTAAAGGAGACATCTAAAAAGTTGACTGTGGGTAGGTTTGTTTGGATCTCTATTTTAAAACCGATCATTTTAATAACTTTAATTATGTTTTTTCCTAGGCTATCAATTTGTGATCCAGTTTTTTTACGAAGTACCATCAAACCATCGTCACGATATAGTCTAACGTCTTCTTTATTTATTATCTTAGATAGTGAGTCTAATATATATAGGCCCACCAGTTCACTAACTTTTGCACCGTCAAAACAACCCATTGTGACATCAAAGCAGTCATATAGACAACAGGGTTTATTGTTTTGGAATGAGTCTTTGCAGTCTTTTAGTGTAATAAAAGCTTCAGATTTTGCGATTACTTTTTTTCATTTGCTAAGTTAAGTGTGTTTGCTATATTTTTGGCTTCAAGGTTAATTGAGTTTTCAAGTTTCTGTGGGGCTTTTTTATACGCTTTTGTGATATTTTCGTTAAGAAGTTTAGTGTGTTCCTGAGTGGAACTTTGGTAAATATTATTTGTTTTGTCAGCAAATAATAATACGTTAGGGTTGCTTTTATATATGTTATATTATTATATATTATTATTATATATTATTATTATATATATTAATAATATATATATAAATAAATATTATTATTATATATATATATATATATATATATATATATATATATATATATATATATATATATATATATATATAATAATAATAATAATATTACGTAGTATATTTTTTAACGAAAAAACATTGTATTTTTACCTGATGATTGCTAAACGTATGGAACTTTTAGTAGTAAAAGTTATATAGTTATTTTTTATTTAATCTCGTCAAAAAGTCAATTATATATATATATATATATATATATATATATATATATATATATATATATATATATATATATATATATATATATATATATATATATATATATATATATATATATATATATATATATATATATATATATATATATGTATATATATATATATATATGTATATATATATATATATATATGTATATATATATATATATATATATATATATATATATATATATATATATATATATATATATATATATATATATATATATATATATATATATATATATATATATATTAGGGTACGCCACTTAAAACAAAAATGAGCAAAGAAACTTTTTACCTACCAGGGAACTGGTTTTTTTGTCATAAAATTTTTGTATGTCAGATCATAAAATTTTCGAATTAAAAAAAATTATCTCAGTGAATTTCAATTTAATTTTAATGTTATTTGTGTATAACACATGAAAAAACTGGTAAAATGATTGGTGTCAAAAAAACAAGATTAAACTATCAAAAGATAATGGCTGGGAGCCTGGAGGCTTGTTTCCAGAATTTTTTTTTCTTCAAGTAATATTAAATAATAATAAGGAAAA